CTGCTGTGACAAATTATCACAAATGTCATGGCTTTACAGCACACATAATTTTATCTTAGTCTGTAGATCAGAAGTGTGACACAGATCTCACTGGCTTGATATTGTCCACAAGATGCTGACCTCCTTTTAGGGTGAATCTGTTTCCTTTCCCTTTTCTAGCTTCTAGAGGCCACCCACGTTCCCTGGCCCATGCATGCTCTCTTCCTCCATCTTCAAACCCAGAGATATCAATACTAGGTTGATTCCTTACCACATAGCATCATTCTGACCTCCTCTTCTGCCTCTCTTTTCCAGATTTTAGGCCTGCTCCAATAATCTAGGATAATATCCCTATTTTAAGGTCAACTGATTGGGAATCTTAATTCTATTGGCAACCTTGATTCTTTTTTGCCAATATAACTTCACAAATTCACAGGTCCCAGGGATTAAGATGTAGACATCTTGAGAGACCATTATTTTGTTCATCACAATCACATCCTGAACTCCAGACTTAGATCAGCAAACTGCCTCTCCAGCTCTTAGAATCTGTCCACAGTATTACAACCTTTGAAAGCTTCAGTTTCCTTATTTACCAAGCGGGAATAGTCATCCTGACTTCATGGATCTGTTGTTAGGAAATAATGTGGTCATGTGCATAAAAAGTTTCATGTAGACCTGAACAAACAAGAAATAGTCAATAAATGTTAGTTATGTTATTTCTGACAAATACAACTGGAGGAATGAGAGAAATCATTACAAATGTACATCTTTTTATCTATTCCTCCTATATTTTCTTAACTTGTTCATTGGCTATAGCTAGTGTAAAGGTAACTGGGAAATGTTTAAATATAATTTGAAGAGGCATATCATTAAGATCACTGTTATATTTTAGTACTGTAGCCATAATTAGTAATCATAAAACATTGAGTTGTTTAACAGTATCTCTACTACTGCTGCAGAGCTTGACCCAGCACAGGTGGGCCCACAAAATGCTAATCACTGTCCAGACAGACTCTGTGGACATTTTAAGGATGCCAGTACCACCCTGGCATCTGCCACGGAAGCAGATGTTATTTGCATCTGTTTGCTATGACAATCACTGATGATAGCAGGAAATGAAAAATCTACATTTTAAGACAACCTGTTCAAATATTCAAGAACATACTTGGCTTGTCAAGGCACTTTTTAAAAGTTGTTATAAGAGATGAGATTTATAGGAAATATAAATTATTAGGCTACCAATACATTTTTTTTCTGAGTTTACTACTACTTGTGAATAAATATGTTGAGTATGGTTTCTAATCAATTGCTCTGTTGAATTCTGACACAGTTTTTGAGAGAGTAAGGACATTACTTTTCTTTTAAGACTTACACTAGAAATATTGACTCTATTTGCCATGTACTGTGAATTTGAAACTTATTGTTTCTGTAAGTTTATATATACATATGTGTGTGTGTATATATATATCTAAGAAAATGAGTTTCATTATTTTTATAACAAAAGCAGGTTATAATAAGTGGAAATTCAATACTATGTACTGTCTTGTAAATTTAATCCATCAATTAGTATTAATATGTATTTTATTATATGCATTAAACCAACGTTATTTTCACTAAGAAAAGAAAATAAATAAAATATATTAATTATCTTTTAAAAGAGAAACAGTTTTTAGTGTACACAGTACTACAAGTCTTGTTTCTTTGACTTGAAAAAAACAAAACAAAACAAAAAACAAAAACAAAGGCAAGGACGTGCTTATGTTACAGAAGGCAGCTTTGCTCTGATTGATCGCAAACACAAAGTAGTTGATCCTTCTGGGCATAGTCAAGGGAAGTTCCTTTCCTCGGCGCTTTTGGAAACGTGGTCCTATGAGCCCTGGATTGTCAGAGTCCACGCTAACTGCCAGCTAGTTAGTACCTACTCTGCCGTGACCCTAAGGTCGACTGTTACCCGGGGAATGGGAGGGAGGAACAGGAGCAAGCAGGAGCCTCGGAGCGAGTTGGGATGGAGAGAATGGGCCTACTGGGAAGGAAATGGGAGCTGGGGTAACCAGGAACAGCAGGTGTGCAGACCTCCTCCTTCTACTGTCGCTCTTGGGCACCGCGCGGGGGAGGCAGTAGCGCGCCAGCTGCAGTTCTCGGCGCGCCCGGAAGCGCGGGGGGAGCCCTAGGCCCGCGTTTGGCCGCCCTCCCGCCAGTGCTCCGGGCTCGCGGTCTGGAGGAAGTCGCACGGTCGCCCTCAGCCCTTTCGCTGTGTTCCACTGGGGAAGCCGCCATGACTGAGCGGAAAACGTTAGTTTCCGGACGCCAAGACTTGCGCGCTCCGGCCGCGCGCTTTTCTACCTAGGAATTGGTGACGAGGGCCGAGGGCTGCCGTGCTGGGGGAGGGTGCTCAGAGGCTGGGGTGCCGGGGTTCCCCTCCCTTGCAGCTCCAGGCTTCGCGCAGTCCCGGGCCAGTCGAAAGGGACAGCAGAGGGCGAGATCCTTTTCCCATCCCTTTCAGTGGAAACCGATTACACGGGGAAGTAGGTAACAGTTCTTGGTGGAAAACCTCCCACGAATGATTCTGCTTTTGTTAGTGTCGTTCCTCCTTTGGGAAAGCGCGTCAACGGGTCAGTGTGGATCCAGACAGAGTTTTGTTCCCGGAGACTGGATGTGTGGGTGGGCGCGGGGCTGACCCTGTGGGGGCAGGGCGGGATCAATTCGGCCAAGGAGTACCCTCTCCGTCCACCATATGAAGGGCGCTGTGCAGGTCTGGCCATGGAGTCCGCGAGAATCTGATCTGCAAGGGATTGGAGTGACCCCTTTATCCTGATGTCCCAGTGATCCCGAATAACCACCCACCAGCCTCCTGAGCACGCCCGGCACCCCAGACTCCGGGCTAGAAGCTGGTTCCCGCCGCGCGCGGTCCGCGGGTGCGCTGGTTGCGTCTGCCTTTGCATCTCGATTCCTGTCCCCGCTCGCTCCGCACCCAGACTGAGTCAGGAATACAACCCAAGATTTCCGACTATGCTCCCCTGATCTGTGAAAGAGTGATGTTCCCTGAAGTCATGCCCTCCCAAAAAGCCTCAAAAATCAAGGACATGGGAAGTGAGGTTTGGGATGGTGGGTTGTGGTCGCGAAATCCAGGAAAGCACTGCTGGCATTGCCTTCTCTGCCCTGCTTACTGTGAGGAGGCCCTCCCGCTCAACCCGAAAGCATTCTGAGAGAGTGCTAGGCTTGGAAGACCTGAGACCTAGTGAGAGCGAGGAGTGTGAGCGTCAACCAAGCAAATTAACTGTCCCCCAATTTCTTAGAAAATTTCACCGGAAACGTATTTCTATGAAGAAAAATTAAAGTCAGTTTATGTTATTGACGCTTTTCCATAGCCCTTCAACGTTTTTCTCCCCATGCCCACTTCCGACTTCTTTCTGAACCTTCTGGGCGTATTCTTCGCAGAGCAAAAATGCTGTCACTGTTGCCAATTTCCGAAGTTTCTAACGCCTTTTGACAGTACTGTCTCTGTCAAGTTTGGTCATATTCTCCCAGTTCAGGACCAACATCAGAGGATGCTCTAGAAGTAGCGCATGAGAGCCTACGGGTGAAAGGCCCTGGCTAGGAAGAGAAGGAGGTTACACAGGAGAGCCTACAGATACTTGTAAGCTCTCTTAGTGGTCAACCTTCCCAACACAAACGCGCGAGCGCACACACACTTAACACACACAAAGTGAAAGAGAGAGACAGATTCCTTGACCGCCGCTAGAGGGAGGGCCGCTGGGCGGTTGTGCAAAATGGAATAAATATGGGCCCTGCTGTCTGGCGGAATTTGTGTTTATGTCACTTTAAAAATACTATTTTTATTTGACAAACCATAACTGTGATATAGTTATGGGATACATTCTGATGTTTTGATATTTGTGTGCAGTGTGGAATTATTAAGTAAAACTGATGTCACTTTTGAAAGACTTCAAGTGACTAAACAAGGAAGACCCTACCTTGGTTAGGTTGGAACTAAACAAGGAAAAACATACAGCCGTAAATGCCTTTCACAACCACAGGTTCCTTTGGTCTTCAGATTCTCCATTCCATTACCCATTCTTCACTACTTTCTACCCAAGGCTCAAGGTGCTCAGCACAGAACCTGGGCTCCTAATAGCACAGACAGTATTTTATATGTACATATAATATACACATAATACACACAAGCACACGTATTTCCTCAAAGGAATTGTAGGAAAGGACCACAGTAATGTGAATTCCGTTTTTTTCCATCTTTGTTTGATTCTGTGGCTTTAATAGCTGATATACCACGCAAAAATGTAAAAGCAAGTTGGAAACATAATTGATCACTTTACTCAGCAAAAATAAATCCACTTTCCATTATATTTCTGAGTTTTAGAATTTAATTATTCACTGTCGATCTGGAAATAGATGCCGAATCCTCAGAAGATACCACTTACAGAAAGGTATTACTATAAGAAATACAACTTCCTTGTGCAAAGTCTCTTTAAGTTACCAATGGTCTCTCAGTACACAAATCGCCTTAGAATGCAGGGTAATGGTTATTTGAAGAAATTTGAATACTCTCATCCATTGTGACTCTGAGTTAGGAAGCAGACAGTGGAGGTTAAGGAAAGATTGAGTATTGCCTTGATTGGAATTTCAAGAGAGAAAAGTCTAATCCCTTTCTTGTAAAAAACATCTCGGTGGATTTCAACTAACTTTGAGAAACGAATCAGAATACTGACTCAAACCAGAGCTAAAGAGAAAAGTGTTTTTTTGTTTTTTCTAAAAACCAGGTGTTGAGCTCCTTGGTAACCCAATATTGGGTGCGCGCGCGCAGAGTGGCCAGACCCCTCTCCACGCAGCTCTGGCTCTGTTCAATTCGACAAGTGCACTCACGGCGGAACTGCCACCGGTATAACGTCTTGACGATGGGCTTCAGGGTTTGACACTCCGCAGCGCCACCAGCTCTGTTTTCTCCCCAAGTAAGCTACTCTACCTCGCGAGCATCAGATCGCCCTATGCGCGCTACAATCCGTGGGGCGGGGAGACCTGGCGCTCACCCAGCGAGCTCGACTGGTGCTGACGTCCGTTCAGGCCTTTAAATGTCTCTGTCCCTGGGCAGGAGGGAACAGACTTTGTAGCAGTCACTTTGCCCAAAGGGAGACGCGTCTCTGCTTTTGCAGGCGGCAGCTCGGACTCCCCTCGCTCTTCCCAGCGCAGCGTTTACCTCCTGTCTTTGCCTCGAGTTCCCCGCAGCCTCTCCAGCGGGAGGCGCTTTTGGTATTCGCACCCCGGGCGTGAACCAACAGGACTCCCCCTGCCCTGTGCTTTTTCAGTAGGTTCGAAGATCAGAGATTGCGAGGTGCGCTCGGTGATCGCTCAAGTAGCGGGGAGCTTACACCCCCTGATTTTGGTAGGGAGTGATTTTGTTTTTTCCCGAGCTGGCGAAAACGTCCTCACAGCTCCTGAAGCTGCAACTTGTTTTGGTTTCTTCTCAGTCCTGTGTGTGGTTACAACATCAAAGTTTTTCTCCCTTACCCTTCCAAAAAAATCTATCCTTTTAATCTTCCCCCCGCGCTGTCTCCGCCAGGCCTTCTCGCTGTGCGGTGAGTGGATAGCTGGGCGCGCAGTGTGGCAGTGGCGGCGAAGATTGGCGCTATCAGGAGGAGCAAAAGGGAAGGATCTGCTGCTGGGGGCTCCCTGGGTGACCCTTTGCTAGGCGAAAAGAACCCGGTAAGGGCGCAGAAGAGGAGCCGGAACCTTCTGGGACACTGGTGCCTGACACTGGATTTTGATCACCATCCTTGTTGTGTGTCTCTGTCCCTTTTTTTCTCAATTGGTAACTAGTCGAGAGAGAAGCGCTTGGCAGGAGCTCTCTGCGGGACATAAGCTCCCTGGCTGCTCGGGATCCCTACGTCCGCTGCTGCGGAAGGAACACAGGGGAGGACGCAAGCGGTTGCTTACTGGAGCCTGGAGGTAAGCAAGGGGGTGGGATCCTGATTCTCAGCCCAGATTCCAAAAGGGTGTCTGATTTCATGGAAACATTCTTCTCACCCTCATTTATCATCGCACACCCCACCCCCGCTTTTCAGATCCAGGTTCAGGAATAACCAAATCCTTGGCACCCTCACAAGGTGGAAGTACCTTTCACAGCTCATCGCCTGAATGCCTTGCTCCTTACATATATATGTTTGTGTTGGGGGAATGTGAGCTTCTCAGGGAAGTTGATACCTTGTAGATTTTAAGAATGTCCAACTTGATTTTATTCAGTTTCTTAAAGGATGTGTTTCCTGTGGGCAAGAATTATGGGAAAAAATGTCAGTGTCATATACAACTGCAGTGGCAGCTCAGAAATCACCTTCATTGCCCCCCAAAAGTTTTCCCTATGCAAGTTTTCTTAATGTCCACATGTAGTGAATGGAGACTTGGCTTGTTCCATTATATGTAAATGGAGGGGAGGGGTCACATCCTTATCTTTTAAATTGGGGGATATCAAAGACATTAGAGTTTCTCTCTTTTCTCTCTCTCATCGTTATCTCTGTCTCTCTTTCTGTCTCTCACTTTCCCACCATCCTGACTTCTTTCCTTCTTTATCTTTTCTTCTCTTCCTTCCTTCCTTCCTTCCTTCCTTCCTTCCTTCCTTCCTTCCTTCCTTCTTCCCTCCCTCCCTCCCTTTCCTTCCTTCCTTCCTTCCTTCGTTCCTTCCTTCCCTCCTTCTTTCCTTCTTCTCTTTCTCTCTCTCTCTCATTTTCTTTCTTTCCATGTGCTGCTCATTAATAAATATAATGTGAATTTAGAGAGAATGGAACACTTTTGCAATATACAGGGATGATAAAAGACTTCTTTCCTACCTTGCCTGAAGTTTTTCATTTAAGTATCTGATCCTTTTTAGTTTTGAGGTAATTGGGAGGATGACTGAACTAATATCTTGGGTGCAATTCAGCATGGTAAGATTTTGTATACAGCATGTTTAATTGTTCCCTACTCTTACACATTAGCTAATAACAGGAATTACGTGAATTATTAGAAATGGCCCTTGATTTTTGGCAAACAATATTTTTGAACTGTGGGGAAATGTTAAAAATCAATATTACAATTTACATGGCAAGAATATGGATTCATAGGTGAAAAGAGAGAGACGCAAGTTAACCTTAAGAGAGTGGTTTAATGAAAAATCAGTGCCTGGAATTTCATATCTACATACGGTAATCAGTGAAATAAATGAACCCGTTAGTATTCGGATCTTGCAATACTTGGTTCCATAAAGACACTACTGTACATTTTATTTCTGATCTCATTTGTTGTAGTAGAATAATATTAGATAGCTTTATCCACTTTTTCACACATGTGTGCTGTAGATTTCAGGATATCCTATAAAGCAGTGGGAGGCAAGGTCCAAGATCTGGCCTCAATAACATCTCTCCTCTACGAGGATCCCTTTACATTAAACTGCAACTAGTGGAATCTGGAACTTGAACTGCTGCTGCTACTTTGTGCTTGCTTGCTTTTTTATTTTATTTATTTGTTCTCTCTCTCTCTTTCTTTCTCTCTTGCTTCTGTACACTTGTAGCTTTCCGTCTGAACGTAAATCTCCCTCTGTGCAATGGCCCTTGTTATTTGTATTCTTCCCCTTAGGGCAGCTCACAGTTGGGTTGCCCTGAATTAAAATAAACGAATCCCCTGACAGTATAGTTTATACATTTCCTGGGTATATACTGTGTATGCCTAGGCTTCCTGCTGATCCAGGTGTGTTGGAGGACATGGAGAGTATAGGGAGACCAGAGTACCATGAAAGTGGTGAGAGTAGGACAAAATTAGGAAGATGGACTGTACTGAAGGAGAATTAGGACAGTGTAGAAGAGGAGGAAATAAAGCAAAACTCTGAGCATTGTGTGTTTGAGTGTATGTGTGTGTGTGTGTGTAGAAGATGGATTATCGTCAGCAGAAATCAACCTTATCTTAAATCTGCACGAGCAGGTTTATCTCAAAGGGTGGATTCTTCACTTGGTAAATGCTTTGAAAAGACTTGAGAATCCCAAGGAGGGAAGAAACAGCTCTCCTTTGTAACTATTGACTTCCAAATAAACTCTTTAGTTCCAGGCTCTAGAACAGTTTTTCTCAAATTTTAGTGCCTGAAGATGCTTAACAATTGAGATTTACAACTCCTAACATGCAAGATATTGGTTCAAGGGGGTCCAATTAATTGCATATCTAACAGGATAGGTGATTCCAGTTCTCCTAGTTCAAGAAGTATTCTATGAAATTGACAGGCTTAGTGTTAATGAACTTGATTTTTGTGAGGGAGGGTGTCATACTTGCATTTTAATGTAAAAACTTTCCCTAGTATTTATCTTCTTGAAATTTTCTTGTTTTCTTCTATCAATGCCATTATTGTCATGGCTGTCCTGTTAGAAGATGGGCATTCTCAAATAACAAAGTTTTATCATTTGTATATTTGCAACCTTGGATGGTGGCCCTTTGAGATTTAAACTAAAAAGCACTAGTACTGAGGTGACAGAAATGTTTCAGCATTATTAAAATCTTAAGTTAAAAAAAAATCAGTGTACTGATGGGTTTGGTTTGATGATAACTTTAAACATTATGATTATCACTTTCTCACTTGGATAGATACCAACTTTTTTATTTTTTATTCTCACCTTTTAATTTCATGTATTTATATATTTATCTTTTTCCCTACTAATGCAAAGCAGTTCAGGTCACTTTCATGAAATTATACAAAGAGAAAGTGAATTTAACAGTGCCTACAATCATTTTTTTCTAGTACATCTCTTCATTTCCATTAATAAAACTTCACAAAGGTAACATAAAAGTGAAAGAGATGATTGATCACATTCTGAACCCAATGGTGAGTTAGGTCATTTTATTGAGCCTATTTTTGAAAATAACATCTCCATGAAATTCTTAATTTTTCCCACTCTTTCCAGCCTAAAGATGTTGGTCATTCATTACCGTGGTATTCAATCTGTGTGATGTTCATTGACACTATAGTGTCAGAGTTCTAATTTCTGCTTTTTGTACTATTTTCATATACAGTGCTATTTTACAGAACATGTTTTTGTGATCGTAAGCATTAGAGTTTTCTACTAATTAAAAAGTTTGCCCAATAATAGTACAGCATCACATATCAATAGACAAAAAGAATATTGTATTTGCTTATTTTCTTTAAATAACCACTTTACTCAACTGACATTTCCCAGTTGTCTTATGCTATATCAAAGTGTTGGCTGGCTTCTAGTTTAAACTATCTACATGTCGAAATTAAAAAAAAAAATGCAGCTTGCATGCTTTAATAAAATGTCCTCTCTAATAATGCATGTAATGGAATAATGTGAATTATAAGCTTATTCTTTATTTTTTTATTGAAACTCTAATAATCTCTTTTGATATTTGGTTGGTGTTACACTAAGAATTTGGAAACCTGGGGAAAAAATTAGGAAACTAGTTAAAATCTTGGAAAATAAACTTAACCTAAGAGAAGTTTGTTTTTGCTTCATATTAATCCCAAATCACAGGCGTTACGATTGATATATTGAGGTTGACACATAGTGACACAACAATCAGAATTTCTGCCATAGTTCAAGGGCTTCTTTGTAAAATAATTACACCACCGATAGCAAACACAATCAATTTCTACGTAAAAAAATATAAATAATTTTGTTTTGCTGTTCTAGAAATTCCTTTTACTTTGACATAGCCCCTTTCCCCATGGGGTGAGAGAGTAGTCCACAGGATGGCACTATTGTGATGCATAGTATTTTGAATAATTTTACCCTTGAGCCATCTTTAGCTACATTAATACTAATGGAAACATTGACTTTTCTCCAATGATAAATTTCTGACACTTTTTTTCTTCAAGCCAGTGGATATCTATCAGAAGGTGTTAGTGTCCATTATTGCCAAAGACTGCCTTTTAAAAAATAATCCCCCAGGAGGATCTAGTAGCCACCAGTCCTATCTTTTCTCTCCTCATCCTCTGTGATCTGATGAAATTCGTATTATATCTGTAGAATATATATATATAAAATAAATTGATTTCACATAAACCAGAAACATGTATTTTTCATTAACTATAATGTTATATATATTCTCATCCCTGTCCTATATTCACAGAATGAGAATGGGTCTTCTTCCACATACTACGTTTGCATTTACATTGAATTCATCCATGCTACCTAAAAAAATCCATTCACACTAATATTGATTTAATGGATTCCTTAACAGGACTGATTTGTGTTTTAAAAGAGGATCACTAGAAGAAGACAAATCTTAACACACATGTCCCCTGAAGATTTTCAAGTCCTTAGACAAAATGAAAAAACAAAACAACAACAACAAAACCACAACAACCTAGTCTCACAAACCACAGCCACTTCTATGTAAGTCCAGTCCTATGACCTAGTTAAGGCCTGCATCTGTCTGATATCCCATGTCTGGGAGTGCCAGAGCCTATTCAAAGTCTTCAGGTACAAATAAGAAACAACTTGTATAGAAACTCACATTTTAGCAACGAGAATAGGACATTAACATTAAAATATATATAGAACAGGAGGTGGAATCCAGGGACTAGTGATACTTCAGTGAGAACATGTTTGAAAATATGGAGAACAGCAGGTAGAATCCAGGGACTTGAGATGCTTCAGAAAGGTCAAACACATGTTAGATCCTCTGTCTTGGTATGCCATTTCTTGGTATGCCATTTGCTCAGTTTTATGAGAGGGATTAGACTAGAAGACACATCTGTGGTACAGACAGCAAATCCAAAAGGCAGGAGAAATCATGGTGCCTCGGTCCAGCCTGTATTTTCTTTAGGAGTGGGAGTGGGGAGAGGACATTCGCCTGCAGGTTTCTGGAGGTTTTTCTTTTGCCAATGTGAGAAATTATTTTATGCTATGCCAACTAAAAGTTTGATTCCTGGTGAAAAGTGATTACTTTTCTTTAATTCTTAAAACTGTTTC